TCACGTGTACAGGGCTCAGACAAGTTCTAAGATGACCGCCAAACGTCAGATAGTCACATAAACAAATCATTACAGGAAAAGCAATTTAAACACGAATTTTCCTCTTTATTTTGCGCATGATACTTAACAAAGCTCTATTTACTAATCCCTTTTGGAATTGTGGTTCAGAGGCAAGTTGGTCCCACATGCATGAAAAGCTGCCATCTTGCTCCTGCCTGTTTGAGTTGAACCAATGCTAGATTCCTCTCACATCTCTTAGATCCCACGCATTCGATCCTACTTAATGCTTTCTGCAAGATGATTAATTTCAGTGCGTTACGGCAGCATCTCTAGGCTTCCTATTAATAAGAGTGTACGTGGGGCAGAACTGAATGCCTGCACGCATAGAGAAGGGGAGCTGTTTAACACTTGGTTTTGCACGTTGGCCGGGCAGGAACTGTGGCACATCTTGGCTTTTTAAATTATGATTTGGGGGAGGAAGTCTTAGGTTCATTTCAAACGCCATTAAATTGGGTTTTAAAGATCCTTCTAAAGACCATCTGCGCCCCTACTTTTACTGACTGCACCGAGCGAGCAATGCCAATAAATCAGCATTAAGCAACTTTCTTCCTAAGAAGGCTGAAACTAAAGGCAGAGAGTGGAGAAAAAGGAACTTCAATTACAATGGACTAATTTTAGGTTTTGCAAATCTATTTTAAGTGACATGCGTGATTTGGCATGATTTTTTTGCGACTAAACGGTGATAAAGGGCTATTTCATGTTTCTCCCAACCGGCTTTGATTGTTGCCAACCTAGTTGTGAGCATTCGATCTTCGATCTTTTACATTCATGTATTTTACATTGAAGGCCAAATGCCAAAATTATGTGTCATGCTTTTTCTGTTCATTAAGCATATCATTTGTATGTGCTTTGGATAATCGCATCTCCTTCAGCCCTGCCCAGGTTCGCTAAAATTAGAACTAAAGATAGTAAAAAAACTTGTTTACGCGGCTGACCACTAGCTAGCTCCTTCAGCTGAGGATTAGTTAAAACACTTCTCACAAAATCTAATACAGTGCAGTATTACGCCATCCATTTGATACTTACCTCTAAGCGCATTGAGCAACTAGGCATTCCAGGTACCTCGACGTGGCTGTTTACCTCCCAGCCTCCCTCTACATCAGTAACTCATTTGATAGCACTACTATAGTCTATTATGGCTTAAAAGTTCGTATTCTTTGTCCAACATTTAGGAAAATGCAGTTAATTCGACCAACACATCTGCAAGTTTGAGGCACCTCTCACTGGTTTTGCATCTGTTCTTCTATGCGCGACATCAGCTTGCATTGCATTTTTTCTTTTGATTTTTCAATGCTAAAATTAGATGCACTGCAGAGTTAATTCACTTCCATAGGTGTTCTGAACCGACTAGCAACATTCAATTTCAAAAAGTCTAAGCTACTCGTGGTAAATGGAAGATTTTGGGTCGCATGAAGCTTTGTGAAATGAATACGAGCAAGTCAAAGCTCCACCTACTTGCATTCCACTACATCTTGTCTGGATAGAATGGCTTTAGCTTGGTTTTTATCTGCATCCTCTCTCGCAACCATAGCAGCCATTCTGCGTTCTTTCACCCGCTTTTGCAGCCTCTCTCGTCCGCTTTCAATCAAACGGTCATGATTTGTTAACATATCCATTATTTCTTCCTATCAAAATACAAAAAATTGTCAGTTGCAATTCAACCTAGCCTAACTTCGTTAGGTAAAATTTGCTGCCAAGTTCTTAATCCTTACCCACATTAATAATAAAATTACTTTCTCTCGACTCACAAAATTTGTTTCTCGCAAAAACTTTAATTTGTTTAGTTTGTTTTTTGAATTGCTTCCCGTACCTGCATCCCTTTCAGTTCAGCAGCGATTTCCACGACATCCAGTCCTATCCTTTTGTAGTCCGGATTTCCCTCGAGTGGTTGCCTCTTCCTGTCAGTAAGAGGAGCCTGTTGAACGATGGAACAAAAGGCCGCTCTACATGGAAGTGTAGTGACAAATTTTACTCGCTGCGCACGATACTACTAACAAGGCTCAATGAGCAACCGCTTACGCTGGAGTCGCAGGCTTAGCATATGCTTTGAGGGCTGCGCTCTCTTCTGATAACCTTTTGTGAAAATCAAGTTGCCTAAAAATGATCAGAGAACGTGATTTAATACTTATCCTTAAAACTGGAAGTTATGCAAAAGAACGAACTCACCTCAGGTATTTGGCGATGGCCTCCGTTTCAGCAGCTTGCATCTTTTGAGTAATTTCGGGATTTACTACCACCTTTGTTGTCGCGTATTTACTTGCTACTGACTTTAATATTTCTTCCAAATCCAACGATCTCGAATCACCCGTCTCTGAAGCCTCCAAGGCTACAACAGCAAGGACGAAAAGAGTCAAAGTATGGAATGAATGCGCATTTCTATAATAATCCTCTATTTATTCTCAATCGTCTTCTGCCTTTGTAAAGAATATTACGACTTTGAGAGTGATTTTTGGCTTTAAATGGACAGAAACTCTGAGCTTAGATGTCTGAGACATCAGAGCAGTACATGCACAGTGGACCTTTGAAGACCACGACACGAGGCATGTAAAACTACTCCAATTTCCATCAGTCGGTTGGAAATAGTATCAACGGAAGCGATGACCAATAACGATTTGAGGTCACCCGAAGTAATGCTTTGCGTGGTACCTCGACCGATGTGAGAACGAGGTGGCGTGGTGACATCCGCAGACGTGAAATTGTTTCCCAAAGTGGTTAACCAAAGTAGTGTGCCTTGATGGCGATTTTCTTTATCAAAAATTTGCAAAGCAGATGCAAACATTAATGTCTCGAGGTCTATGACTTGGTTGGCAGCAGAAAAGAATCGCGTGCAAAGGAAGAGGCTTGCGGAAAAAATACTGCATTTTGTTCGCACTTAGTGGAGCAATTATTTGTCCATAATTGTTACCCCCAGTCATTCTAAGTATGGAATCTTATTGCTTAGAACTGCACAAACAATCACTAGAGGTCAGCTCAAATATGCTTAAACTCACTTCTTGCAGAGTGACTGAGGTTTTTGTTGCTGCTGTTGGAGTCAAATATGGAAGCAATCTGACTCAACTCCTGTTGAAATGATTCCAGACTTTGAATGAAGTCATTAGACTCTGATTCGACGATCTCATCATTCTTACGCAAGAATTCAATCTGGAAACGAGACAGTCAAAGAACCAAATGTAATGCGCCCATCAGGCAACAACACGATTTAAAAATTGACCGACACTGGCAAAATCTTGCAGCTGATTCCCGATTATTCAAAGCATCAACATTTTGACAACAGCAATCGTGGTAGCAAGTAGAAATTGCAGTCTATCATTTCAGATCGGTGCGTCTGCCATGAGCATGTCCGGTCTGGTGGCATTCCGCCATATCTCAGGTGGCAGCCCTTACCTACGGACTTTGAGTGCGTGATTGGAAAATCTAGCTATCAAGAGACATCCTGGCATTCTCACGTCCAGATCAAAATAAGTATTGTACACCAGGACTCATGGCACTTTTCTGCCTTTGATCAGTGGTGAAGGGAAGTAGACTCTTCTAGGAGGCTTCGCTTCCTGACCACTGCCTCGGTTCTTCAGGACTGCCTTCCAGGTCCAAGCATGTACATAAAAAGAGTGGAGTGCTGTGCAAAGAAGACAGCAAAGAGAAGGAGAAGGAGGAGGGAGGAAGAGGGTAAGATAATGGAATCATGAATATGCCCCACTTACCAAACCATCTTCAATCTCTGCACTCACTTACTTGTATTTGAGGCGGAACATTAATAAACTGGTCCCTTATTTGGTTGGCTAGGAGGTGAGCTCGTCGTCTACTCATCGCTCACTTATTCTCCCCTTTATCACTCAAATGTCGCCTCTAAGGCCTATATTCCGTCCAAACAATGATGCCTTCTGTTGCCATAGCAAATCCATCATGTGCAAGGGTTAACCTTCCCGAATTGGCAATCAAAACAACAAGCAACACTTCGGCTCCATAAACAGGAACCTTTGATAGCCTACTAGCGACCGTTTAAGAAGAGGTTTCATGCTCTCATTTTTTGTGCTAAAATTTCTCACAACGGGATGCTTTTATTTATAGATTAAAAAAATTTAAATTGCCAGAAATCGATTAGTAGTGTAAAATATTGTCACACGACCACAAAAAAATGCCAGTAAAGAACGCACTATTTGTGCAATACATTTGTCTTGCCGTTTGCTTCCACATCAAAGATCTGGAAGATTCTGGAGACAGTGCACTGTGCGAGGACTACAAACGCTCCCAGATTGTTGTTCTTGAAGATGCCATTAGGGAGAGTCCACGAATTAACACTACAGTACCACCTGCCAAAATCCAAGTCCGTCAGGCCTTTCGTGGGGAACGTGTTGCGCTGAGGTGTCTCCATACTAAAAGGGGCTCTAAATACGCTTGGTACCTCAGTGCCACAGCTCCGGTCGGTTCCAGTATTCTGGAGGGAAGCCTGATTCCACTACCTCGCAACAGTTGTTTTCAGCGTCACTTTTATAATTACAAGGCATTTGGCGTCGAGGTGGTAGAAGTTGTAGCCCAACGAGGAACTGTTGGCTACTTTACTTGTGCTGAAAATGTCGACGAAAATCACTGGATCCAACGTGGTGTCTTCCTCATTCTTCTTTATCAACGACCAACTGTTGTTCTTCAGGTGGACCTTGTCTCCACATCTGAAGTGGATTGTGAGACAGCCGCAAGTCCGCTGTCGTACTCAAGCATCTCGTTTGGTGGAATCGGTGTCCCACAAATTGTGAAAGCAGAAGATTCGGAGTGCATAAAAGATTCTAAGAGCTGGCACTGCACAAAGTTCATCGGAGAGTGGGATGGATTTGAGTGGGTAAGAAAACGACTGGAAATGGCACCTTCGGGATTTATTTACACTGGTCCGCTAGGCCGAGCAGTACGACTGCGGTTTGAGATGATACAAGTAGGTTTTCGATTAGATTTTGTTCGCCTTGTCAGAGAGAAGTACCTCAAGCTGATTACGTTGGGCAGTTTTGAGCTAACACAGGACAGCCTCTGTGTGGAAGCTCGTCAAGTCGGCAGGCGATTGGATTGGATGGTGCTGGAGACCTACATGGGCTATGCAAAGTTAGCCGGTGGATTTAGGATACCTTTCGGTAAAAGGATCTCTCCAGGCGACTTTGAAATTCTTGATGGTTTGCAACTATACCGGAGTGAAGGAGGCGTGAGTTCTTCCCATTCTCTCATTACACAACTTCGTAATTGTAAAATCACAATTCTGGTAAGAAAGCAATGTTAAAGTAAGGTTTAAACTTACAATCGAATTACTATAACTCATTAAAGTTTTGTTCCCAATCTCCACCTGCTTAACAGCATGGAAAACCGAGTCTGTAAGCGTGACCGAAGTCTGAGCCTCTGGGGTAAAGCATAGGCCGCGGTAAACTAGTTGCTTAAAGCTTTCATTTTACTCCCGCTTTCATGGTCACAGCAACATCCTGACAGTGTTGCTAATTAAGTGTTTAATTATAGGACAGAGTGAGAGCGAAAAAGTTAAGGTAGTGTTTTTGTTAAATCTATCAGTTAGTGATCTTTACAAACAAAATTCGTTAATGGTTTGCCAGGGCAGGGCTTTAAAAAGGAGCTCATTCATATCACGGCACTATGTATCATTTTAAATAACGATATTTTGAACTCTCGCTCAGTCGTTTGGGTCAGTATTCCTGGAGCAGACTTTGGACCCTCAAGCCGTTTTGGAGCGTACACTACCAATTCCACACGAAGTCTTGTTACCACCACCATCACCACCACAAAATTATCAACCACCGCGTCCATGCAGCCCACCACTGACATCATCTGGGCATGGCTTTGTGTCAATCATGTACAATCAACTATGCACACAAAAAGCGACTACCTTCACCACGGTTTTGACTGGCGATGTAACAATGATGCCCAGAGGAAGTGACCGGTCAGTTATCGTGAAAATAGAGGCGCTGCTAATGAATCGAGAGAGTCAAGAAGACTTCTATCGCCTTCGGTTGGTGGGACGGTCTCTAACATCTAAAAAGTCCACTCCACTGGAGGGATTTTTCGTAAAACTGCTGGAACTTAAGTGGAATCGCATAAAAATGTCAGTTCTCCTTCCGTAAAGTTTTTGTTTCAGGGTGACAGAACGTTAATTCCTTTTTAAGCAGACTTACTGAAGCCATAATTGATATTGTATCAATTAAGCAGCACAACAGTATTTAAAAGCACGTGTGTATTTTTAGGTGGGCAAAGTTTTATTCCTACATTTTGACAAAATTAATTTTTTTCAATACTGAGGTGATAAACTCGAAAATTAAAAGCTGCAGAAAAGCTTTTGGAGAACAATTTTAAAAACTCTAAATACTCTACTAGTTATTTGTCAGTAGGTTTATTTAATCACTTTAATAGATGACGCTCTTGACTATCGCTTCGGCAGTGCACTTTATTGTAGTATTTAAAGCCTAGAACCTACATTACGAAGAAGTGGTACTTTATTAAATTTGGCAACAGACTTGAGTAATGAGACTTTCATATAAATTTGAAATACAACTTGATTGCTTCCACAAATGGTGCTATCTCGGGTGAACTTGAACTCTCAGTGAATTAAGGAAACTTGTATTCACAGTTTTAAGTTGATGACCGCCTTGTTAACATAATTTTTTAGTCATTGTACCACGCATGAAGAAAAGCGTGAATACCACACAACCTCAGCCTTGGAAATTCCCCCTCCAGAAGGGAAGAAAACCGTCCAAAGCAGTTTAACAATGAAAATAAGTGACAGTGGGACATCTCTGTGGTTAAGGTTTTCAACTGAAAGGAATAACTCTTCACATTTTATCAGACACTTGACGTTGGCAACCGCCATGGGCAGCAACCTTGAATTGATCACAGTGGTAATAGTCCCCGTCACCTTTCTTCATGAGTTAAAACTGTTAAAGATGCAAACTAAAATCACTGCTCTCTTTGATATCAAATTTGCCAGCTTACACCATTTCCATGTTCGGTGCAAACCTTCTTATCTTGGTGTCCACTTCGAGCGCCTAACCTCCTAACAGAATGCCGAACATTCACCATAGACTAGAGCTATCGATGTCAAGATTTGCCAGTCCACTAATGGGCATCCTAAATTTTGATTCAAGGTACCTCCACAAGGAGCCTGTATCATATGCTTTGTAAGTCTTCATGTTGATCGCAGGGGAGCACCCTCCATTCCCCTCAAATTGCCATCGAGCAGAAAGTTCTCTCCTCCGCTTCCACCAATTAACAATCGAGTTCCTCCAATAAGGACAGTGACCGGAAATAAATCCCATTTTACGGCTTTTCGCACTTTCACACTCAGCTGGAATGAATCCGGCCCGACCGATTCTAGAGAGGATCTTCGTGATTGGTTCAAGAGGATGGAATTCAAAACAGCCTCAAAAAACGTCTCGGTGGGTTGCTGTTTTCGGCAGAAGAGGTGAACTTGAAATCACATTTCCATTCACTTTAAATTAAATTAGATCATTTATAAGAACTCATGGCCAGTGTGCGCTGTGGGACAGCACTTGGCCATACCAAATCCACCACTTTGTGTGCCTTGCCCTCCAGGCACTAAGGCAACAGTCTACAAGTCCATCGATAAGGCCTCCCATGCCCCCGAAGGCAAACAAGTAGACTTCAATACGCCTCACGCAATTCTCTGTGACCTCTGTCCTGAAGGCGCCTACCAGCCAGAACCTGGCCAGACTAAGTGCTTCGACTGCTCTACAAGCTATGTAAGGGCTCATTGCTTCAAGGCGACCGATTTTCCCACGAAAAGAGGTAGTAGCTCTTTAATAGAATTAAAATAAGTAGTCCTTGTATTTGTTTGTCCTTTAGAACCCATATTTTTGTGCTAAGACACCACTCTCAATAATTCTGGGAGGTTCAGTAGAGGAGACACCGCCTCTGACAGGGGCGATTCGCTCGGAAGTACAACCCCGTAAGACCACCACGATTGGCATTGCTGGAGTCCTCCTCATCTGCCTCTGTATGGTTGGTCTATTAGCTTGCGTTGTTTACTTCTACCTGGAGGCCATCGGTTTCATGTTGGTGAAAGTAGCTCGCGCCTCCTATGCAGAACGTCCAGTTCAAAAGACGAGACCTTCCCAAATTTGTGAGGCCGAAATCCGTCGACTTGAACAACTTCACCCTGAAATTGATCTCCATGAACTTGCGAGACAGGAACTCTGCCAAGCCGAGATCCTGGGTCTTCGTGTTCTGCACCCCGAAATTGACTGGGAAAAAATTGTCTGTGAAGCAGAAGTACGTCGACTTCAGGAAGATTACCCCTTTATTCATTGGGAGAAGGTTCTGCACACAGAACTACCTTATGTCCTCCGAGCCAGATATCCTTTTATTGACTGGAATCGAATTGTAGCTGAGGACGCTTGTGGAAGAGAGATCGAACGTTTGAAGGCTGAGAATCCCGACATGGACTGGACAATAGTATTGTGTGAAGCGAGGATTGAAAGCCTCCAAAGAAAGTTCCCATGCATTAACTGGGGAGGCATTGTCTGTGAAGAACGAATTCGAAGACTGCGCTCCGCCTACCCGAGTGTTGACTTCGACCAGCTGGTTCGAGATGAGTTGTGCGAAGAGGAGATGGAACAGCTGAAGCTTCAACACCCTGAAATTGACTGGGAGGCAATAGTGTGTGCGGAGCAAGTCTTATGGCTGAAGGCTCGGCACCCAATGGTGCATTGGGAGAACATAGTGAGTGAGGATAAGATTGTCAGACTGAGACATCTCTACCCGTACATAGACTGGTCCAACGTAATTCGCAATAACTTGTGTGAAAAAGAAATTATAGGCCTTAGAAAGCGATTTCCACAACTGGATTGGGAGAGCATTGTACGCGGCGGAGACGCAAGCGTGAAGCGATTGTCGAAAGCGGCGACCACCGAACGATTGTCTTCACGTTTCCCAGATGTCACTTGGAGTGAAATAATAACGGAGGATTTGAGCGACTATGCAATCAAGCGCTGGAGGGAAAAATACCCATGGTTCGATTGGGATGCCATCACAATGGCCATATTCCAACCAATAACCTTAAAATCAGTTAATTTTAAAAGTCCAGAGGTGTGTAAGAGTTTTAGAGAACAAATAGGGTGTTTGGAAGAACTCTATCCATGCGTAGATTGGCGCTACTTCGTAGAAAAGAAATATGCATCGCCCTACATAAACTGGGACTATATCATAAGGCGCGAAGAAGAAAAGCCCGCCCAAGAGAGCGAGAAGCTGAACCCTAAGTTTATTGATCGACTCAACTCGCGCTACCAATTCGTCAACTGGAGTGCCTTCCAGAACGCTGGCATTGAGAAAATGAGGCGCGAGCATCCATACATTCACTGGACCGTCGTCCTAGAAGAAAACGATCTTGATGAAGGTCAGACGTTGGATGGAGGAAATGTCGAGCCTATGACACCTCGAAAGGTTTCACCAATCGTTCCGTTTGCTCGAAAGACGGAAGAGAGAATAAAACTGTCAAGAGTTGCAGCTGAAGAGGAAATACTTCGATTAAGACGCGAGTATCCTCACATCAACTGGGAAAATGTGATCGCTAAGGAGAGAAGGCAGAAAATAATTGAGCACGACCCTCAATGTGGGGATTCGAAGTACCTTCATGATAACGTTCCCACGAGACAGTTTCCAGACAAGATTCGAAGCGATACTGAAGCCAAAATTGGAGCAATAACTCCCTCCACTGAGGTAGTGGAGATTAATTGCTTGAAAACCCTCTACCCCAGCATTAAGTGGACCGGCGTGGTGGACCATGAGCTCAGGAAACGTCGGAAAGATAGGGAAGAATAGTTAGAACTACCAGTTTTTCATTGTTAACAAAACGTTTTACTACGAACTTAGTTAATTCCCCAAATCATAACCAAGTAGATAACGCCTCGTGAGTTTGAGGTGAGAATGGTCGACTAGGAGTCGGTGTCACGCAGTACCATTCGACTAGAAAGATGGTACTGTCAACGCTTCTGCATATTGCTAGAAACTTAGATGGATACGCCGCATCTAACTTGCAGCTGGTTTCAGGTGCACTTGTGGCAGTCGGTAGCGAACTAAATACAACAGTAATAATGTAATTATCAGAGGCCACATTTGAAGTACAAATGGAGAACATATTCCTACAGAAATAGGCTACTTTGCCTTCAAACAAGTACCACTGATATAAAAAAAACTCCCATTGTGAGCCACTGACCATACACAAAATAAAAAATATTGGGCACAGATCAAGTTCCTGTATAACCATAAAGATTCTTTCACAGACGTCCCGCAACGAGCATTTACCCACCGAATGGAAGCAGCTTAATTAGATAAAACCTGTCAGAGGAGCATGAGTATGCATAAACTCAGGATAATACTTCTATTCTGTAATACGTCGATGACTGGAAGATGTGGAGAGTAGATGTTAAGCCAAGATGGGAAACCAAAAAGATTAGCTGAAAAAACAATGACGTAAACGAGTCAGTAAACAAGCACAAAACGGGAAGGATAGTGGTGCGATCAAAGACATGGAGAAGCCCAGCCGCCTACTGTCCCTTCTTTTCAGCAGCCTCTCTGTTAGCCTTGACTCGTTCCTCCACCTCCAAAGGAATGTCTTTGTAACTTTAAAAATAAAGAGCCAGATGAGAGGCTCGAACTGAAAACACATCGAAACAGAGAATAAAAAACTCACGCCATTAATTCGTTGAAATCGCCTTTGATAAGGGCCAAAGTGAGAGGGAATCCCAGGCACGTAGGAACGAGGTAGAGAAGTGCGGGCTTAGTAAAAGATCAACAGAATTACACTTAAGAAAGGTAAGTTATTTGATCTCCCGAGTAAAAGTTGAAGGAGCCACATACTTGGGCATGACGAAAGATGTAGAGGACAGTGAAGGTAGTTAGAAGGCCAATGATGTAAGCAAAATAACCGGTCCAAAAGTAAAGGCGGGCGCCGTTGCGATCCATTCTAAAGACGCATGAATACGTTTTGAAGAGCCTACTTGTTGTCAAATCTCAGAAGTAGGGCCAAGAAGATACCAGGAACAACAATATCTCCCAGACCAAGCATTCCAACGTCCTTCGAGAAGAATCCATTTGTCAGGAAATCTCGTGGGAAGACAACTAAAATGTAATGAAATAAGTGAGAGGGAAGGCACAATTTCCCCTTACCTTTGACTGGGACATCAAAATTTGTGGCAACGAAAACCATAACGCCAGTTCCAAAGACCCAAAAGACATCGTAGACAAAAAGACCACAAAGTAGGACGCATCCATTGATAGCTCTATCCAAATGAAGATGCTCGATGCCTGCAATAGCTATTGCAATGCTGATAACGTTGTTGGCAACCCAGAACTAGAAAAGGGCGCAAGGTAAGCGAAGCAAAGTGGTTACCTTAGTACACACATAGACCAGCCCAACTAGCAGCGCAATTGCCAGGGGAACAGCATCTTTCCTTTCAAATTTAAACTGTCCCGCTTCTGAAAGTGAAAGTGGCGAGAAAAAAGAGAAGATCACCTTACCTTTCTGGGGCGTAGGAGTGTCCCCCACTGACTCAGTGAGAATCAAAGTAAAGTGGGAGTTGCGAAAACGTCGCGGATACAGCTGTACAGCATAAGGTCTTGACATTCAGTGTGAGCACGATAAAAATGCTTACCTCACAAGGAAAAACACAGTATAAGTACCGATAAGAAAGGCGTAAATTGACAGCAGCATGTTGATGTGCTCAGCGGCAAATATCTAGATTTGCCTTAAGTGAGGTGAAATTGCATTACCTTAAAAACCAAAAAAATACCAAAAAGAGCACAACTGGCGTAGATTGGAAGCAAAACGGCCTCATCTCGACGAAAAACCGTAATATCCGTAGCATCTGGTTCAAGGGACTCCTTAAGGGCTTTGACTGATTTATGTGCGCCAATGTATATAGGGATGATGGCCATTAGAAACAAGGCTCCCGTAGTTAGACCAGCATCGGGTGTAAATACCCTGGTGGCATTATTACCTAAAGCTTCTTTCAAACTCTCGTCGACCTGGCTCATGGGCGTATGTGAAACGTGGCTCCGTCAAGGTCAAAGGGCAAACACAAAATTGTTGAAGATTGAACATCAGAATTCCAGGAATGTCAAATTATTCAAAACCGAACGGGAAGCAAGTGATTTAAGCCCCATTTTTTTCAGTTTGGAAAGATCACATTTGGCAGAAAATATAGGCTAAAGCAAATGCAATATCGTAATGGTCGTAACCACGATATTTTCTCGGCAACGACTGCTGATTTACAATTCGGTGACGCACTCAATCCAATTCAACTTATTCAAATTTATCTACCGCCTAAATTACTGGAATTTTAGGGCTTACTAACCTCGACATAACTTAGGGGTTCGTATGCCGTAAGAGTTATGCGAGCTAATTGTTGTAGTAATTTGAGACTTCTTTAGATAAATGAATTTCGATTCTTGTAGCTGTAGCGTCCCGAGGCTTCCAATTGGGTAGTAGAAGGCATAAGTGAGGTTGAATACACGTATTCCGAAAGCAATAGGAGAAATGGGGCCTGAGCGTGGCCCGAAGGCCAGCCCACGTGTACAGGGCCCAGACAAGTCCTAAAGTGCTCGCCAAACGTCAGATAGTCGCATAAACAAAGCATTACACTGCCCCGCTCTTCTCTTGAGCGACGTCCTCGGCGCTCCCCTTTGGTACACCTTCTGCTCCAGCCATCACAACATATTCGGTGCTACAAGAAAGCATCCACGAGCCACGACGGACAACGCGAGAGCGAGGAACCGTACCTGATCTTCTCGGCAGCTTCAACTGGATCTGCAGTTCCGTTCGGTCTGACAACCAGATTCGGAGACCCCTACATCTGTCGACCACCGATTGCTTCCAGGAATACACGGTGGAACTCTGGTCCACAACAGATATGCTACAGGGATAAGGGGACGGACCACTGTCCCGTATGCGAGGAGATCCGTTGTGTCATTTCCGACACCTAAACACGGGTTCGGTATGGAAAATTCCCACACGAAACTTTTCCAGATATTTCACAGCGGTATCGCTTCGGTTGTTAATAGCTTGTTTGTGGAACACGGGAATAAGGTGAAACCAAATGCAGACCTCAGTCTCAACCCTTTCGTTGTGAAGGGTCCAGGGATCCTCCGTCTTCAAGGTAAATGCGCCCCCTTCAGTTCGCGTCCCGTTTTCGCCTGTATCTTTATCTACTGCACTTCGATAGATAGAGTCAGACTTCCTTCTACGCATGTATAGCTCATGATTGCCAGAATGCGCTTCTTAATCTTGGATTTCTCCCTAAGAAGCAGAATTCGTTTGCAGTCTTGTCTGCTGGTTGGATTATAACCTTCATGTCGTGAAAATAGAGAGTTCGACTTTCCGACCGAGGGAACCCGATTTTGAGGTATCTGCTTGTATTCAACCAGTGCATCATCCGATCGAACCGTTGCTCGTCGGTTTGTTCTCACTGTTCTTTTCCGGAAATCAGTCGGCTAATTGGCAAAGTTTAGCAAGGCAAACATAGGATGTCAGTAAGACAGTGATGCCTGTTGGGCAACACATCTCCCCACACACTATGTCGCTTTCAAAAGAACCTTATACCTAAAAGTCGTTAAAAAGATGTCAGGTTCGCTTTCCGCTGCCACCAGTGTAGCGTCCCGAGGCTTCCAATGGGGTAGTAGAAGGCA